TATATAAAATCACAATTGCTAAGTTTGAAATTAAATAATTATGTTGTAAAGAATAAATAGAGAATGAAAGAAACATTACAGAAAAAAGCCATTATTTTTATTAATACATAATGCAAAAAGAATATATCTCATAAAATAATTTGTAAAAATAATATAATCGAAATAAAAAAATAAAAATTTTATACATATTCAAAAAATTTAGAATATAAACTTTTGTAACAGCAATTTACTTAGAATTTTTTGAAAATACAATTATAGTTATAATTATAGTTGATGTTAAAAAATATATTAATAAATATAATTTTTAAGATTTTTTGATTATCGTACAAACTCAGAGAGTCATGCAATATTCAAATTCTTTCAATATTTATTTTTCAATTATATATATATATATGTTTTTTATATTATGTGTTAATAAAAAATGGTTTATTATATTATATTTAATTTATTTTAATCTGTTCAATTATTACAAAACGTACTATTTAATTTTAACAACTTTTTCTATGTATGCGATTGTCATTTTATAAATTATATGTATCTAAATTTTTTTCTTTTTATAACTAAAAGTTATATTACAAGATGTAAAATCAAGTTTGAAATATTCTATAAATCAATTTTTTTAAAATCTTTCTTACCTGCAGACTGCGACGGGAGATAACAATGTTTTGAAGTGACTTGTAGATATTTTGCACTTCTTCAATTTTTTTATTATATTAATATAATATCTAGAACAATAAGTATAACTTTAGTATTTTTGCACTAATTAGATCTCTATTAAGTTAAAATTGAGATAATATGCATTTACAGTTTTTAGAGAAATTTATCGCACATCGATTGAATCATTATGTCACTTATTAATATATGTCATATAACAAAATTTAATAAAACACACACGATGTGTAATCTCTACTAACAACAATCCTCGACTATGGTTCTTCTGCAAGTGAATTCTCTCATCGCTCTTTTCTTTCCCAGAGTCTTTCGTTTCTTCGAGAAATTCTTTTTAGAATCTTGTGAATGTAACATCTGCAGGGAGAAGGGTGTGCATCTTGTAATAACGTGCCCTTTTTTTACCCCTCCCCCGTGCCACTCCCGCGCGTACAGATATTTTTAATCTAAATATACGACGAAGAGAATTCGTCGACGGCACACGAATACATTAACATTGCATGCTCTTTTCTACGAGAAAGGATAGGAGCGTATGTACTCCCTCTAATAATGCAGCCCCTCTTTTTTTTCGCGATAGGCCTATCGTGATAATAGACTGAGGTAATAGAAGGGGAAAATAACCCGATCAAAGATCGTGCCACGATTGCCGGGGTATATGACTATTATTACGTCTATCTTCTACATGTATCATTGCCATTCGCGTGCAATACCACGAATCTCGTTAATACAGTATAACAGTTAAAGTGACGGTTGGTGCACGATGATAGTGAAGAAGAAGAGGAATAAATTTTTATCGATACGAATGGTGAGGTTTCTCATGAAGTTCATCGGTTTCTGGCCGGCCGAGTCTAAGACCGAGGAGCGATTGCTGAATGCAATTTTGGGCTACACAATATGCATGATCGCCATGGGTTTATGGATAGAGGCAACCGAAATGTATTTAGGTAAAGGCGACTTTTATGTGAGTAGTAAAATTTGTAAAAAATATTACATTACAGCTCTCGAACAATGTCATTTATAATAATAATAATAATAATAATTAAAATCTTGTAATATATAGATAGTTTTTAATAACAAGATAGTTTTCAATAATTTACTTGAAATTTCATAATCATTTATCAAATTATTTTTAATTTTTTTTTTTTTGGTTCTTTTTTTGGTCGTATGGTATAGAAATTTATTTGCTTGCTAGAGTATAATAGGATTTTCATCAAAAATAAAAATTAATAATAAAAATTAATATTTCAGGCCATCACGTATACCGCTTGCAGTACTATGCCAATAATAATAATTATGCTAAAGATATGTATATTTTTAAGTAATAGAAAAGAACTGTTGAACATGTTGAGATATACGGAGGATAATTTCTGGTGCGCCCAGTATGACGATTACGGCAACAAAGTTTTGGAAAGAATTAATAAAAAAGGAATAATATTAATATGCATGTTTACGTTCTTCGTTCAAGGGACCGTTTTCACCTATATGCTGACTCCTATAATCGGTATCCCGAATCAAAATCTACATCGTCTACTTAGTAGAGAATTAGAACGGTACAAGTTTTCTTAGTTCAGGTACTAAGCACTTCAGCTTGTAGCTTAGAAATTGTTGCGTAGAAACAGAGATAACCTATATTTGTTTCTTTTTTTTTTACGTTACATTTTTATAGAAAATATAGGAAAAAACGAAAGCGACCGAATCCTCCCTTTTAATCTCTGGATCGGAATACCGACATCGGTCTCTCCAAATTTTGAAATATTATTCGTTTGTGAGGTAATGCAGTATAGTTTTTCATAGCTGTGCCATAATGAAACTATTCAAATTTTAATTAATCATTTAAAAAATCATGACAACTGTTAAGATACTGATAAAGTCTTGTATAATCTTTCATTAAGATTTAAAAAAAATTAATAAGAATTGATGTGGTTGCAATACATTTGTACGCATTTGACATGGCATTTCATTGTCGACCAAGTAACCGTAACTTTTTTTTTGTGTGATTTTACAGAGTTCAACATTGATTTATTGCGGTGTGTGCTTCTGTTGCTTCGATAATCTTTTGGGTCTATTAAACATTCATACTGCCGGCCAATTCAAAATTCTGCAACACCGATTGGGAACTATCCTCAAGCGAGTCGAAGGGACTGGTATCGTAAGATCGTTCGACGAGAAAGGGAATCGAAAAGTGTATCAAGAGATCAGAGAATGCATCATGTTGCATCACGACTTGATCTGGTACAGTGAAAAAATGGGAGGTATCTTCATGTACACGACTCTGTGTCAGCTGTTGGTGTCCAGTGTCATGCTTTGCGTCGCTGGCTTTCAAATGTTTTTGGTGAGTACTTATGCGTACTTGTGAGATACATATCGTAACCCTTTACTTATACAAAATTCATTTTCATAAGTCGAAATCAACCATGGAGAGATAAATGGAGATCCAAAAACAAGAAAGTTGATATGAACATACAAGTAGGTCTGAAAATATGTTGTTTTCGAGCTATCGCCATTTTTACGTTGAAATCTGAAGTTGCTTTGCTTTCAAATTTTTTTTATCAAAATTGAACGAAGAAATGGTCTTTATAACATAATTAAATTCAAATAAAAATTGAAATTTTTGAATAAAAGTCGAAATCGTTTTTTTGTCAAAATTGAAAAAAAGAGGTAGTCTTTATGAATTGAAGTTAAATAAAAAGTTGCAGGCTGCTTTAGCAGGCTACTCAGGATGCACAACTGTCCTGGTCTTTGCTAAATGAGCTGTATCTTCTACTGTGATTCTGTGTCATACTGATAAAAATAACTTGAAAACGATACATTTCCATACAATACAGATCTATATTCATATCAAACTTTTTTCTTGTTTTTGTGTCCTCGATCACCTCTCGAGCGATTGATCTCCACTTTGAAACACCTTATATAACAACGTTAGATAAGTGAACGTAATAAAAAGAGAAAGATGAATGTAAATACAGTTTACTCGCGTTACTCGCTGACCTTCTCCACGCGTGTCTGTGTCTTTGTTGGAAAAGGCTCGAGGTACTTTCATCAGACGGCTGATATTCATCGCCCATACGAATGGCTGTTTGTTCCAACTGTTCGTGATTACGCTGACGGCGAATGATTTAATGGATGAAAGTCGGGCAGTCGGAGATGCAGCGTATAACGCCAATTGGCAGGTTTTGCCTCACGAGGAAAACAGAGATGTCAGAAAAGCCATTCTACTGATCATGATGCGATCTGCACACGCTTGTTCCATATCCGCTGGCGGTTTCTTCCCAGTGTCTCTCGAGACGTTTATGGCGGTAAATTACAGGAAACAATTACAGGAAAATATTTTCTGCAACATGACAGTATTTCTTAGATATTTTTTTCAGGTGTTGAGCACGGCGGCATCCTACTTCACCTTGCTTCGCAAATTTCTAGAGTAGCTGCTCAAATGAAAAATTTAAACCTAAGGAGAGAAATTAAGAGAAAGATTAAGAGTATTCAGAATGTTAAAGTATTTATGTGTGAAAAACTGGCGAGCTCTCTTCAGCGTTGTCTATAATTTTATAAATATTTTGAAGTGTATAATAATGTATACAATACATAAAATATGTACGGAAATCTAATCAGTCGAGATTATTGAGAATGGATTCTGCAAAGCGTGCGTTACGAACCTTATTGGATTACAGATTTGACACAATGTTTGGTTATACAACAGTGTTAATAAAAGCTGTTAAAAATATAAAGTCTGTTATTATTATCAAAATATATAAGAATAGCAGCAAAAAATCAAACAATCTTTGACATACTTGCTATATAACTTCACTTAAATCTTGAATCGCAGATTCTGTTCGATTCCTGCCTGTTCGATTCCGCCAATCTGCTGTCAGATTACGTCGGCAAGTTCCACGGGCAAATACACGAGCTTAATGTGTGCACAGTTGATGCCAATTTGTTAGCAATTCTGATCGAATTTGCTACCAGTTTGCTGACATACCGTTTGCTGACATACCTTGCTTACTTAAGGTGTCAAAGATTGTCCGATTTTGTTGTTGTTTTTTCACAATCTAATGTAAATAAAATCAGCAGTTTTTTTTATGAAATACTTAATAAAATATTTTAATTTTTTTTTGTAAAATTGTCATTAAAGATACGCGTGCACACATCTTTTTCACTATATTTATCCACTTGAAAGTTATGTAAAAAATCCTCCTTGTTACGATGAAATAATTAATTAAACTTCATTCGGAAATAGTATTACCTCATGCAGACGTTCTTGAACGTAGGTGTCCAATTTGCGATGAGGTCTGCTGGCTCGCACAGCTGGACTACTGGTCGGAAAACGGCAAAGGGAAAGGCCCCACGGCGCATTGTCCAGCGGAGATCGAACTTAGTAGTATCGGCGCCTAGTTGATCGTCTTCGGTAAAGGAGACGAGGTACGATTATAGCCTGTCACCAGCGCGAGGTAAGTGCGCGCCAATTTTCCTGCTTGTTAGCATAATGGGCTTCCACTTACCCCGAAATGGATCGGCCATTCGAATGCACTTAGGGCCGCGGCGGCGTAAGAAAATCACGAGGTTCGGCATGACGCAAAGTAAGGAGTACCGATCGGTGAGTATTACGCGGCTCTTTATGAAGCTGGTCGGACTCTGGTACGTCCGGACACCGAGGGAACAGCTAATCTTGCGCGCCGCGTTCGTCTATGCCGTTTCTGCGATCGCCTTCGCTATTCTTGTCATGGGGGTTGATTTGTATCACTGCTTAGGCGACTTTTACGTGAGTGACACAGCCATCGTCTTTGCACGGTTGTCTCTTGACGGACGTAGAACTATTACAAGTAAATTGTTCTTGTATTTATTTAAAGTTGTATTTATTTAAAGTTTTATTTTCAATTTAAATGTACGTGGTGATTTTGAATTATTTCGGATTATTTGGCATACAGAACTTAGTGACGTTCATTAATTTAGTTTTGACAAAAATATCTAGGCGAGTAGCTTTGCTAGCAAAGTATATGTATTTTGTCTCTATATTTTTATTTATTTCTTTTTTCATGTATCGAAAATGTTATAATTAAAAAAATATAATTGATATGTGTATACGTAAAAGTATGAAAAAAAAGTGTATTTTACATCAACTGAAAATTTTATATAACAATTTTTAATATAATTTTTCAATATAATCAGATATGAAAGAGATTGTAAATTAATATATTGTTTTTCTCATAATTTTGTTTAACTTTAAAACATAATTTTTATCAAAATTAATAATATTAATAGGATTTAATGCAATTTATGTGAATATATGCATGACATACAAAAAACTTGTGTAAAGAGAAAATATTTTTTTAAGATAATTAAATATTAAATAAAATAAATAGCAAAATTATATCCACAAATTTTTTATTCTTATGATTTATATCATTTTTATGATATGATAAACCTTAAACGCTAATTAATTAACTACATAATTTTACTAATGCAATTAATTAATTATTTTTAATTAGTGCAATTAACAAATTATTTTTAATTAGTAATATATCTATTATAAAATTCAACTAAATATTATTAATATCTATTTATTTATAAATTTTCTCATAACATTAGAAATGTTTACATGAGGAGTAAGTTTCAACTATTTAATTCTTAATAGTTTTATTATTCACGTAGGCTGTCACATCTAACTTATGTGCAACTTTACTACTAGTAATGATACTAGTGAAGCTAGGTAGCTTCATGTACTATCGCGACATGATAATGGATATAATTCATTTTGCTGAAGAGAATTTTTGGAATGTTAATTACGACAAGGTTGGCACTCAAATTCTGGAAAAATATGACAAACTAGGGATGACTATGGTTTATACTTTTACATTCATCGTTTATTTTGCTACTTTCAATTACATCTTTGCACCTTTTTTCGGTATAGTTTTTATTTTCACTGACGTTATATTATGTGTGTAATAAATATTATTTTTTATCATATGAAGCAATGTTGTTTTTTTTATTGTTTATAATAGAATCTCAGGAAACAAACGTAACGGAGAAGATTCTACCCTTCAAACTGTGGATCGAATTTCCATATCATTCACCATATTATGAAATTACTTACACAATACAGGTAATTAAACAGTGTATAGAACAATAAATTTTATTTAATTATGTATGGCCTGCATCACCGATAATCTAGAAATATTAATTAATTATTCTAGCTATTCTATATATCTAATTATTCTATATATCTGAGATTTTTTTAAATGTTTTACGTTCTTAATAATTTATATTACGGTTTGAATAAATGTCTCTAAATATCAATATTTAATATTAATATTGATTTATATTAAATATTGCATAAACTTTTTTTAAACTTCAATATTTAATTTTTAGAAATTTTACTTTTTTTAATTTTATTTTTGTTTTATTATCCTAAAGCAGATATTTCATAAAAAATTAATTTTTTATTTATTTTATTACTTTTCTATTTATTTGAAATCTGTACATTTTCTTGACTTCTTCAATTGTAACGAGAAGCAGAAAAAGATTTAGTTTTATTAGAAAAATTACATAAATCTAATTACATAAGTATAACATTTCTTTTTTAAAAACTTGTGTCAATTCCTTATATCTTCAACGTAAAAAAAATTTAAATTACATTATGGTTACTTTCGCAGTCACTTTCGACATTACATAGTGGTATCTGTACTTGCTGCTTTGACAATTTTGTGAGTACATTTAACATTCACGCGGCTGCTCAGCTAAAAATCTTGGCTCATAAAGTAGAAGTCATCGTCGAGGATTGCATTGTGGATATAATGGGCCAGAAATGTCCGTTGGAAACGGATGCTGCGGCACTGACGTTCAAAAAATTGCAGGAGTGTGTGCAGCACCATCTCACGCTCATACGTTACGTGCGTAAGATGCAACGCGCGTTCGCCATTATATTACTCGGACAGTTGCTGCTCTCCAGTGTAGTCATCTGCTTTGGTGGATTTCAGTTCCTCGTGAGCTTTCGAATTTTACCCACTCCCCCTCCTTATTTCATGTCTCGCCGTGCTTACTCGCCAAGTCAATCCTACTGTATTTCCGCTACAACGAGAAATGCTCTCATGCAAGAAATGCAATTAGGTTCGATAAAGTTTAATTCTGCATTTAGATCAAACATTGTTTCAGCTCTTATTTATTTATTTATTTATTTATTTATTTATTTATTTATTTACAATGTTTATGTGTAAGCATAAAAGTCACGCAATCATAATGTGCATTTAATAGAATTTAAAAGATATTCATAAACGCGCAAAAATAACGCGTGAGAAAAAAAAACTAAATTTTTCTTTTTTTTTGATTTCTTCTTTTATTTTCAAGCTCCTGCTTGTGCTTCGTGATTTCGCAGGCGGCGGATGTGGCCATCAGAAAATGTATTTTTGCCTTCCATCTCGTGGGCGGTCTTATCCAGCTGCTTATTTATACGTGGACGTGTAACGATATAATTGTACAAAGTGCGGCTATCTCCGATGCCGCTTACAATTCCAAGTGGTATCTTTTATCAAACGACGGTCCAGGGAGAGCAGTGAGGAAAGGGTTAATTATGATCATGATTAGAGCACGTCGACCGTGCATGTTAACTGCTGGGCATTTTGCGGTTATGTCCTTGGAAACTTTTACAGGGGTAAGTGCGACGTGACGAATAACACAGCCCTTAAAAACTTCATTAAAGAAGTTTCATTTACTGCAAGTTCTAACGGTAGGAAGTACCGCTATCAAAGTCAGTTTTTTTTTTCGTACAATGCAATACATTTATTCTCTTATCCGGTTGTAAAATAAGTTAATAAGAATATGCTCTTATAGTTCAATATTTTGCTTATCAAAATTTGTTAAATTATAGTATGTTAGAAAGATATCTAATAAATGAAGATATCTAATAAAAATTCTTTACATCTATCTGATATTCAAATAAAATTCTTATTTTTTTTTATAAAGTACAAAAAATATCAAGTGTATTATTAACAAATATTAAAATATAATATTATTTATATTTGCAATAGATATTAAGTACTGCGATGTCATATTTTACGTTATTACGACAAATGAGTGAAGATAACGTATAATTATATAATATAGTTTTATGGAGAGAAGATTTCTAGTACTGAAATAAAAAAAATTTACCCTGATACATGATATTTGATTCAATGAGATGTACGTATAATTGAATTTTAAATTCAAGAGGGAATTGCTTTTGCATTACTAGAATTTTTTCCGTCGGTAAGTGAACTATTATATTGAATATCTTCATGATAATAATAATTATATATTATTTTAAAAATATTTTTATACTTTAAATCTATATGCTGCATATTAAAAAATATATATTATATAACAAAAATATATATTATATAACAAAAATAGTTTTATTTAACTTATTATGATAACAACTTATTATGTATGTTTCTATCGTAGATAAAACAAAACTTGAAGAGAGAGATCAAGATTATTAAAACAGAATTAAATTTAATATTTTAGCAATTAATTAAATTAAACATTATGTAAAAATATTAAAGAAGATATGTAATTATATATATGTAATTATATAAATTAATAATATATTGTAAATAGAAACGGATTTTAAATTTACATAATAATTTTTGTGATCTTCAGTAGATCATTATCCGACGTATGATATAAGCGAGAAAATATACACAAATATAAATTTAGAAATTGTGTAAAAATTACATTGCCATCAGTCGGCAATTGCCTCTATTTTTATTTTTATTTAAAGTTTTCACAAACGAGAATAATAAAAAATATTAAGAAAAAAAATAATAAGAAATTGCAAAAATTATGTATATTATAATTTAAAAATAAGCTTTGCAATTTTTTTAAACTAATGTTAATATTAAAACTTATTTTTATTATACTAAAAGTTTATTAATCTTTCAACTTTCATTTATTTATTTCTTTTATGTTATATTTATATTCTTTTTTCCTTTGTTTATATTCTTTTTACCTACTATTTCTTTTTCTTTATCTACTTTCAAAGTGTATACAAAAAATATTGAAATCTAAATGATGTGAAAATAACATATAATTGTTTTAAATAATAATTTTTGATAAAAATTGTATATAATAGATAATAGATTCTTTTCTACACTGTTTAAATACCTGTGGTTGAGATTTAATTAATAACATAACATATAAATGTTTTATCTGTTAGCATTTTCTAATTTAAAAATTTGAATAACATATTTAAATTAATAAATTTTTCATTATTCTCCTTCTCCTTCTGCCTCGCCTTCTCCTTCTTCTTTTCCTTCTGCTTTTTCTTCTCCTTCTCCTTCTTCTCCATCTCCATCTCCTTCTTCTTCTTTTTCTCCTTCTATTTCTCCTTCTTCTTCTCCTTCTCCTTCTCCTCCTCCTTCTGCTTCTCCTTTTCCCTCTTCCTCTCCCTCTTCTTCTTCTGCATTACCTTGTGCAGCTTGTGAAATGACATTTCTGAACATCTCGAGAGGTTCTCCATTAGCTTTTTCGTACCCAGGTGCAGATGTTTGTACTCTCGCCAACCAGTCAGAAACATTTGGGTATTCTCCCAAATCAAATCCAAAAGCCTAACAATAAAAATTAATCCACTCAAAAATCATTTTCAAATATGTCAACTAGCATAAAATAAAGCTACTACTAACAAAACACAGTTGTTAAAAACGGTATAATCGAAACTATCAAAAATATCTATGCAAAAAGTTCTATTAAAAATTAATATGTAACAATAACAGTTTATCATTTTATTTTAAAAATAATTAATTATTCACTTTTCATAACAGCAGCAATGTTACCTCTGCTGTAGTTACAGACACAACCAGAGTAAGATCGGCAATTGTCAAATTATTTCCAGCCACATATTCCTGTCCTTCAAGAAAACCGTTCAAAATTTGGAAAGCTTCTTTTAACTTTTCATATTCCGCTGGATCATGTGTATCGGTTTCTCTTCTAAGTATTACAGTTATCTGTAATAAAATAAGTAATGATTAATGATCACACATAGTTGTAGTACAGTTTATTAAAAAATAATAAAATGCATACGTACATAATAAGCGTATACACTCGCATAAAGCGAGCCAAGATCAAAATATAATCGTTGATTAACTAAAGCACGTGCCTCTGGATTCCGCGGATTTAATGAATCATCCTGGCCGTACTGATCAACTAAATAACTCATGATAGCTCGACTAAAATACGTCATTTTCTTAATAATTACTATAATATTAGTTTAATAGCACAAATTAGAAAAAAATTAAATAATAAAAGAATTAAATTTAATAACATAAATTTTGTGGAATGTGATTTACACGATACGTTACCAAGATTTTTATACAGACCTTTCTGACAACTTAAAGTCATCGTCCATCAGGAAGGGGATTGTCTTTTGCGGATTTAACTGAAAAATAGAATTGTGTTTTTTTTAATGTTAAGAAATAATTTTTTTTAATTTACGTCCAAGTGAAATTGTTTTAAACTAGAACACAAAAGTATAAGTACTATCTCAATATATATATATATATATATATATATATATATATATATATATATA